TGAAAAAAAGTGTTTGATCAAAATCTACTATATGTATTAGTTGAGAGTTATTTTATCTTCTATTCAAAATGCATTCTGATTACATTGATAATTACCAGAGTAAACAGTAACTTCTACCAACCTTCTTTTGAAGAATTTCCAAGTAATAGGCAATATTGACAGTACAATAACATTCACATATCCTTTTGAGTTAAAGATCTCTCCATTTCACAGATGAAAAACAAAAATACAAAATCCTGGTTACAGCTAACTTATACTATTTTATTTAACACTATTTAATACTGAAATAGTGTTTTCTATGTGCCCAGTACTATTAAAATTGTTTTACAATGTTAACCCAGTTCTCATCACAATTCTATATAGTAGATATTATTGTAGTTTCTATTTTATAGATAATACACTAAAGCACTCAGGGGTCAAATGGCTTGCCCACAGTCACACAGCTAGTAAGTGGTGTAGCCAGGATTAAAATCCATGTGGGTGAGCTCTAGAATCAGTGCTCCTAGCAACTATATTATATTGTAATTTCTCTCTAGGAATCCAAATTTTAAATCTAATGACTACAATGATTATTCTCTTTTTTCCCCAGAAATATGAAATATAATCTAGAAAATAGAAAACTATTACACATCCACAAACCTAAACTTTTTTAAAAAATATTTTTTATTGATTTCAGAGAGGAAGGGAAAGGGAGAGATATAAACATCAACGATGAGAGAGAATCATTGATGAGTTGCCTCCTGCACACCCCCTATTGGTGATTGAGTTGCAACCCAGGCATGTGCCCTCATAGGGAATCGAATCGTGATCTCCTGGCTCATAGGTCAACGCTCAACCACTGAGCCACACCAGCCGTACTAAGCTTTTTAACTGAAACAAAAAGAAGCTAAAATAAACTTTTTAAGAAAAAAAGAGGTTCAGTATGAACTCAAAAAGGCATATGAAATCACGCTGGAAGAAACTCTTTGCTTCCCTAAAGCAAATGCTGTGGAATATTTTAAAGCATTACAGGGAAACACTGGATTATTTGCCTTAATATCACCATTAATATCTCTTGGGAGATCCCATGCTAACTGAACCTCAAAGATTATATTTAAATATTCTTTGTAATGAAGTTAAATAATAAAATTTATTTTTTAAAAGAAAGAATAACGCTATGAAGTAGATTTATAGACTATATCTAAAAAGGCAGTGTTAAAGCAGCAAAAATATGAAAGGTTTATAGCTTTATTTTTATTCTAATTTATTCTTGATGTACAAAAATAACTAACTTGTAGCTAATTTGTACCAAGGAGAAATAACTTATACTACCCTACTTGCTTCACATACATAACCTAACTCATCTCTGAGACTATGTCTGCACACCTTCACCAATCCAGCATGTAGACATAAAATATACATTTATCTAATTCTTCCTTGATGTAGAATTGGTCAGTCTGTCATGTACCAACTTATTGCTGACCAAGGACAATCTCTAGAACACAAAGCATTTCTTCTTTTTTTAAAATTGATTTTAGAGAGAGAAAGGAAAGGAGGGAGATATAAACAATAATTTGTTGTTCCAAATTATTGCATTCATTGGTTGCTTCTTGTGTGTGCCCTGACCGGAGATCAAACCCGCAACCTTGGTGTATGGGATGGTGCTCTAACCAACCGAGCACCCGGTCAGGGCAAGAACATGAAGCATTTCAAGACTGGTAGCCTTGAATATTTAAACTACGCCACCCTTCTGATATTTTCCTGGAATAAGACCAGGATCCATGATACCCCCAGAATAAACTCAGCTTCCTGGTTTGGGAACACAAAGTAAAGTTCATCACAATATTTACCCTGCGTTTTTTGTTTAATTTTTTTAATGTGGTAAAATATATATAAAATGAAACACTATTTTTACTAAGTACACAATTCAGTGCATTAAGTGCATTCACAATGGTTGTGTAATCATCACTAATATTCAGTTCAGAACTTTTTCATCATCCCAAACAGAAACTGTACCCATTAAACACTAAATCCCCATTTTCTCTTCCTTCCAGGTTCTGGTAACATCTACTCTGCTTTCTGTCTCTATGAATTTGTCTACATACATCATATAGGTAAAATCACATTATATTTGTTTCTTTATGGCTTACCTCACTTAGCATGCTTTCGAGGTTCATCCCGATTGTAGCATGTATCAGAATTCCATTCCTTCTTATATAGGCTGAATAATATTCCATTGTATGTACCTACTACATTTTATTTATCCATTCATCTATTGATGGGCACTTGGCTTGTTTCACCTTTTGGCTATTATGAATAATGTTGCTATGAATATCTGTTTAAGTCCTTGTTTTCAATTCCTTGAGGTATATACTTAGGAGTAGAATTGCTAGGGCACATGGTAATTCTATAGTTAACTTTTTTAGGAATGCATAATTATTTTCCATAGCTGCCACACCATTGTGAACCAGCAATGCATGAGGGTTCTAACTTCTCAATATCCTCATGAACACTTACTATTTTGCACTTTTTATAATAGCCATCCTAGTGGGCATGCATTGTCCTGTAGTTTTAACTTTGATTTTTGGAGGGAAGTCCTAGTTTCAAGTCCCACCTCTGCCATATACGAGCATTGTGGATTTATATATCAGTTCTGTCTGGTTAGTCCAACTCTGAGAAATGGCTTTCACTTGATGTGTCTATTCAATTATTGCTTTACTGAGATGAAGGCTGAAGGCCACTGTCTTCCATAGAATGAGTGTCACATACTCTTTAAAGATTATTCAGAAATATCCTACAGATCTGTGGTCAAGAAAAACATAGTCATAAACCTTAATTATGTTAGCTCTATTTTCTTCTCTTTTAATTTTACAGATTAAATTAGGCAAATATAGCCCTGACCGGTGTGGCTCAGTTAGTTGGGCATCGTTCTGTGCACTGAAGGGTTGCCAGTTCAATTCCCACTCAGGGCACATACTTGGGTTGTAGGCTCCATCCCTGGTAAGGGGTGTGCAAGAGACAGTGAATTAATATTGCTCTCACCTCTCTCTCTCTCTCTCTCTCTCTCTCTCTCTCTCTCTCTCCCCCCCCCTTCCTCTCTCTCTAAAAATCAATTAAAAAATCACTTAGTTTTTCAAAGTCGTGGTTTACTCTTTTCTATCCTGAATAGGATTACAACTTACATATCCTATATAATAAAAGCCTAATATGCTAAGTGCCCAGTCGTCTGGTCAGCCGTTCAACCAATCAAAGTGTAATATGTTAATGATACCCTAAGGTCACTCAACCGCTCACTCTGATGTGCACTGACCATCAGGGGGAAGACACTCTGACTGGTAGGTTAGCTTGCTACTGGGGTCCCACCAATCCGGACTGAACAAGATGGGCCAGACATGCCTTGGAGCCCCCCCGCAGTCCCTCCCTGACTGGCCAACACCCTCTCACAACCCAGAACCCCTCAGGCTGGCCTGCGCCCTCTCACAACCCGGGACCCCTCAGGGGATATCAGAGAGCCGGTTTCAGCTCAATCCCAAAGGCCAGGCTGAGGGACCCAAAAATAAAGTCATATTCTTCTTTAATTCTAATGGGAACTATGATTGTCTTGTGGTGCAAAAATGTATTTCTTATTTACTCTGTGTGTTTTGTAGCTTAATAACAATATTATTTTTATGCTTTTGGAAACTACCTATTTTAACAGGATAATATTTATAAAAATTCAAGTTTTAAATAGAACTTATCAAATTTATTTCCCACTGTATGCTTTTCTGTTTTTTGTGTGTTTTTCTGCAGCTTTTATGTATTTTTTAAATCTTTAGTGTTGAAAGTATTACATATATCCCCTTTTACCCCCATTGATCCCCTCCAGCCCAACCCTGTCTCCTACCCCAAGTCCTCACCACCCCACTGTCTGTGTTCATGGGTTATGTATATATGCATATAAGGTCTTTGGTTGATTACCTCCCCCCACTCACCCTCCCCTGCCTTCCCTTTGAGATTCTGCATTCTGTGCCATGCTTCCATGTTTCTAAATCCACTCCATTCATCAGTTTATTTTGTTAATTGGATTCCACATATGAGTGAAATCATGTAATACTTGTATTTCTCTGACTGACTTATTTCACTTAGCATGATACTCTCCAGGTCCCTCCATACTGTCTCAAATGGTTAGAGATCCTTCCTTTTTATTGCTGCATAGTATTCATGGTATAAAATGTACCACAGCTTTTTTTAAAAATATATATTTTATTGATTTTTTTACAGAGAGGAAGGGAGAGGGATAGAGAGTTGGAAACAACGACGAGAGAGAAACATCGACCAGCTGTCTTCTGCACACTCCCTACTGGGGATGTGCCCGTAACCAAGGTACATGCCCTTGACTGGAATCGAACATGGGACCCTTGAGTCCGCAGGCCGACGCTCTATCCACTGAGCCAAACCAGTTAGGGCTGTACCACAGCTTTTTTATCCACCCATCTACTGATGGGCACTTAGTCTGTTTCCAGATCTTAGCTATTGTAAATTGTGCTGCTATGAACATAGTGGTGCATATATTCTTTCTGATTGGTGTTTTGGGTTTCTTAGGATATATTCCTAGAAGTCCCACTTATTTTTTTTGTGATGAAGGGAGTAGTAGAGGCATACTGAACAGTAAAAATTAAACTAAAAACTAAAGGCATTTCTCAACTGTTAGGCTTAAGTTTAAATGGTAAAGTATCCCTATTGGTGGGGGAGTTCATTTTATTAGCATTTTTCATTGTTCTTACTTAGCTTTTGAAAGCAAAACCATGTAAACCAAATAATATCATTTCCATGTAGTTTATTTCTAACCCCTTTAGGTTTGTTTGGTCCTTTAAAGGTAAAGATTGTGCAAATTAAAAGTATGTTGTAGACTAGAGTGTGCATGAATTTTCAGTCTTTAGCTTTTTCCCTAGCCATATAAACAAAAAGACTTTCAATTTCAAACTGCCTTGTGACTTTACTTTGTATAAAACGTATAGAGTCTATGAAACATATACAAGTACCTGGAATTACCCCAGTCAGTGCCAATGCCTGAGAATGATCCTCTTGTCTCCGTTGAATATTTGTAAACCAGAAGCAGGCACTGTTTACATAGTTCAACTAGGCGCTGGCAACACTGGAGCTGCAAAGAAGTCACCACCTCCGGGCTTTTACTGAAAATACTCTCCCAAGAGGATCTGTTGGCATGGAAACAGACATGACCTCATGACGCTGCTAAAAATGGCAACCAGCTATGTCACTTACCTAGCAACAAAGCAATAAGAAACAATAGAAACTCACACGTGTGAAGTGACTGCAGACAGTTGAAAGGTATAAAATACATATATATTTGTAAATTAATCTTGATATTAAAAAACAATATAGAATCCATAGACTTTGTGTCTTTTAAGACTTTATTATTGCCAACAATGGGTAAGTGAAAGGATGGTTTTCCAACACTACCTAAAAACTTGAGTTACTTTACAAGTCAAGTGTTTGTAAAATACTGAGCTAATTTCTCAAAAATTAGATAGATATAGATATAGATATAGATATAGATATAGATATAGATATAGATATATAGATAGATCTAGATCTAGATCTAGATATAGATATATGCCTAAGCTACCATTACGACCAAATGACCATAATGACTAGTTGACTGGTCGTTATGATGCACGCTGACTACCTGCTCAACGCAGGAGCTGCCCCTTGGTGGTCTGTGCGCTCCCACAGCAGGAGCGCTGCTCAGCCCGAAGCTGGGCTCACAGGTGGCAGTGACAGGCACAGCTGGGCCGGGATGAGCCGCAGCAGAGCTGCACCCGGCCCCGGCTCCTCCCTAGCCGCCTGCCACTTTGGCACGGCTACATCCCCCGAGGGGTCCCAGATTGCGAGAGGGTGCAGGACAGGCTGAGGGACCCCATCCATGCACAAATCCACACACTGGGCCTTTAGTTAATAATAAGTCCACAAAAAGAGTTAAAAAGATATTTGTGACTTCTTTGCAGTCGGAGAATTTAGGTTAATTGCTTAAGCTAATCAAAACACTTTCAGATGTAATTATGTCCATGATATTCCTAGAGTACACTTTCTGTACGTTAGAAGTAATGTTATCCCAACAAGTACTGCCATACTGCAATTCCAAAGGTAGGGAACCTTGCTCCTTTAGCTCACTCAGCTTATACCAAAGCAGGCAGTAGTGAGTGCTCACGTTCTTGGTAAACTTCAAGTGTGTGTGTGTGTGTGTGTGTGTGTGTGTGTGTGTGTGTGTGTGTGTACTTACAATTTCTAAGTTTACTGCCATGGCCCAAATAAGAATACACCTCATCATTCATCACCCCACCACCACCATCACCACCACCAGGGAGGGAGAAAAAGAGAGAGAACTTTTTTCCTTAGTGTAAATGAAACTCTTTTCAAGCCTCAAGGGCAAAGTTCAGTTTGAGACTGGTTAATGGTTCAAGTCTCATTTTACATAAACTACTTCATTTAACCATCTGAGAGCGAAAAGAGTAGATTTTCAAAAGGGAAAAATATATTTAGGAAAATATTTTTCTGAAAAAATGTATTTCCCAATGGGAAATTCAAAGACTCCATTTTCAATCTTCTATGGATATTTGATTATCTTTGGAATGTTTAAAAATGCTTTAGAAACTCAGAAAGGTATTTTTTATTAGAAAGGTTACTGTGTGTTTTTTGTTATTGTTTTTCAGGAGAAATGTGGTCACAAAAAAGCAACATGTCATCAGTGAATGGCAGGATTTCTTACAAATGAGTAGATTAGAGAAAATAAATTTTCTGCCATGTTCTGAGATGTTCCAGACTCAACAATAAGATGCTAATAGGCTAGTTAAATTAACTCTAAAAATAAAATTTAATTTATTAATAAATATACGAAAAACTAGATATGTTTATGTATGTTTATGTGTATATACATATATATCCAATTTACCTAATTTGATTTAAAAATATTGGACAACATCATATAATCAGGGAATCATAATAATATAAGGCCAAGAGGCATCATGACCAAAACGACCAGGCACCATGAAGTGCGTGGAGCACCTCCCGGTCCCTCCCCTGTGGCCCACAGGCTCCAATCACAGCAAGGCTGGCAGTTGGCGGGTGGGCGGGGTGGCAGGTAGGTGGGGCACGGAAAGGCAGGCACAGTGAGGTGCCCGCAGGTGGGCGGGGCCACACGATTTCACTCCCTGGGCCTCTAGTATATTTATAATTAATAAGTCAATCTAGCAGGCCCTACATGTCTGAGCCCAGAGAAATAAGAATTTCATGTAAATATAAATACACACAGAAAGTATCCTGTGTTCTCACAGTCTGCCTAGCACTTTCCTCTCCATTGGGATTCTGGTTATTTCTACAAAAGTCAACCTCCCCCACCAATGTCCCTGTCCATTTGGATATACTTATATGTTGATCCTTTGGAGCTAGTTGATTAGATTCACTATTAGGTCACTCACATCAGAGTAATTTTTCTCTTCCTGACTTGGAGTATATATAGGCAAGGTAAGAACAAATAAAATGGAAGAAAGTTAAAAAGAGCTTCTTCTATAACATTCTAATTTGATGTAACATTCTGAATAATATGTTAGTTATAATATGAGCAGCTTTGGCTTCTCATTCTCTCATGCTTCCTTAAATATTTAAAATAAACATATGAATCAAGGTCCTTTACCTATTTTTTGGTGTGTATGTTCACCCCCACTGGCCAAAGACCACATTCTACTCTATTGTTTATATTTAAGTGTCAGCACGCCCAAACCCCTCATAAAGAAAAAGAGAAAATGAACAGACATGCTTCATTTGGTACTAGGCTAATGGTGCCCCTTCTGCACAAAGGAAACCAATCCTTCAAACTGAGGCCCCACCTCCTACACACCTCCTGGCAGCGCTGAGGAAATGTGAAATGCTCCTATAACACTGCAGGATCTCAGCTTTCAATGCCAACACAAAATTTTTAAGAAGGTGAAAGATGTAGAAATAAACAAAAATACCAGTAACCCAGGGTTTTATCTACCTGCTTTCTGAATCTAAATTCCAAGGAAATGGGAGACCCAAAATTCATGAGTTTAAAAAGAAAAATTAAATGGTTAAAAAGTTTTCCGGCACACCCTCACCCTCAGAGAAATACGAAATAAAATGACTTTTGTTAGTAATATATCAATAATATACAGAATACTGAATATTTCTGGCAACAAAGGGGGGGGGTTATTAATGAGAGTCAGAGACTTGAAAAAATTTCCTATAATCCAGTAATGCAATAATTTTCATGTCCTTTCTCATCAAAATATTTAATAAAGCAGTTATTTAAAAAGTGAAATTGACTTCTACCTTCTCTGGTAGAAGTTCTGATGGATGGACGAGTGGCCCAAAGTTAAGTACAAGAAGGGAAAAGGGAAGGTAAAAAAACAATCTGAACTATACCAATTAGATAATCAGCAACAGAAAGAGTAATGAGCTAAAAAGTACTACCAACAACACATCGAGATGAAAGTGATAAGAGAATAGTAAGAGTCATATAACTTTAAGAGTCTACATGCTATGGGTACATTTTCAAGTAGTCATATAACTCAGCCTGGAAGAAGACTACCTTAGAATATTCCTTACAATTTCTTTTTTACTTAAGATGCTAAAAGGGAAGCTTCTCCATGAAAAACTTCCACAGGAAAATGCCTTTGGCTAAAGGATCCAAACCAGATTCTCTTCTTTGGCGTTTACATATCAGGGTTTTGAGAGGAGAGAGAGCTTTTCCAAACAAAGCGTTAACCACACTAGCCCCTGCATTCCCCTCTTTGCTCTACCCGCAAGCTCCTTTCTTCCTCTTCCTGCAAATCTCACCTGAAATGTTATTTCAATTGGCCAGCCTTCCTAAGTGCTCAGGCCTTGTTGGAGTCTCAACAAAACCTAAACTTCCACTATCCCAGTAAAACATGGTGAGCTATTCCAAGAGCTTTCTCCTTGGAGAGAACACATGCAGAATGTGGAGCAATATAACATTCCCAGGCAGCTGCATGTGAAAAAAAAGTCACTAAGCATGGGCTGCGCAGCCTGCAAGAGCAAGAGAGAGGGATGAGTATGTTCTCTATTTGATGAATCAGTAAAACCTCTAGGCCAATTCTAGAGAGACCTCCCACAAAGATCCACCATATTCTTTAATATTTCTGGATGTGGAAAAGGAATGCTTTATTTATTATTTCATTATGAAGGTGTTGACAGATGGAGGCAGTAATCAAGTTGACGCAGTTATTCGGATTATATATTTCCAAGATTTTACACCTAACTGTGAAAGATAGCTGCACGCTTTATTAAAATCTTTCCTTCAGAACTGAACTAAGAGTATAGTGTTACCCTGACTAGTAGGCTGTTAGGCCAAAGTTAAAGGAGTATATGTTGACTAGATACGATCTAAAGATAAGTAGAACTATTCTGGGTCGAAAATGAAAATCAGACACACACACACCACCACGTGGTTTCATAAAATTGAGGAAGCCTAAGAAACTCATTTGTAAAGCTGCACAATTAAATCTAGTATTAAACTCACCTCTATAAACCACCAAGTTTATAAAGAAATGGATTCAAAGCTACTCCCACTCCACCTGCCCTGGTGCTCAGCAACCACTGGCAGCTACTTTGAGGGAAGTTAATGAAGCACAGAGTTTAGAGCTTGAGTGCTTGACTCAGACAACTTGGATTTAAGTCCAGGCTCATCTAGTTACTATGAGAACTTGGACAAGTTATATATTCTCTTTATGCTTCAATTTCCTTATCTGTACAATAATAATATCTTATTCAAAATATTGCTGTGGTGATTATAAGAATATTTAATATGTAAAACAATATTAGGCATTTAGTAAGCCTTCAATAAATGTTCATCTCATTATCATTACTAGCAGTAAGATATGCCACCAGAGAAAACTGGGAAGAATACTGTGCCTGAAACAAGAGGAAAGAATTCTGAGTTAAGTTAGAGTGTATTGGCAGTTACCGGTTACCGGCATCCAGAGAACGGCTACTAACCCGGCGCCTACCAACCCGGAGGCAACGACTCGCAAGCAGCGCGACTACAAGAGCCCAGCGGAGACCTGCATCCCTCCACAGAAAGCAGATTCAAGCAACAGCGGCCTCCTGATCACCATACGCTCTGCCTGGGGAACAGTTGCTGTGTGTGAAGCCTCCCTCC